CTGCCTTTCTGCAGCTGGCACCAGGCTGTGTCCCTGGGCCACCAGTGGCCCACCACCTCTCCTTTCTGGGCCGCTCTGTGCGTTGGGGTCCCTTTCTGGGGCCCCTTGGGAAGTCCAGATGTCACACCTACAGCACGGCGATTGGCGCTGTGGAAGCTGAATTAGATGCATGCTGCCACGTCCTGGGGGGGTGAGGTGGCTGTGTGAGCGTGGGTTTTTTAATTCCCATGGCACTGGTAAGTCCAAGAGAGTGGAAGGGAAAGCTTGGAAATTGTGGTTGAGACGTCTTGTTTTGGCCTTAATTTTTAAACCTGCAATAGCCGTTAAGGAGAAGATGGCCGGGATGCTCAAGGGTGAAGGTACTGCTCCTGTTTCAACTCCGTGTGAGCTGAAACCCACCTTTGTCTGCCTGGTGCAGCTGCAGCATCCCCAGCCATCCCCAGCTGGGTGGCCGGCTTTGCCAAGCAGGCATGGGAGGCCGAGCTCTGCCGAGCTCCACATTTACACCGGGGTGCACCACCTTGCTCCAGCTCCACTCCAGCTCCAGCTGGTCATCCTGATGCTGCTAGCCTCCTGCACGGTGATTGAACCAGCTGTACTTGCTGTGCTGGAGTGGACAAGACTTTTATTTCAGTATTTTATATAAATCACTAATCTTTAGAGTCAGCTTGCGATTTCCCATCTCTCAGGGTGACACGAGCCTGTCCCTCCTGGCAGCGTGCTCCCACCTGGCCACTGCCACGGACCAGAGCTGTCTGGTCCCACAGCAGAGGATCCTGAGTGCCGGGCTTGTCTGATGGCCACGGTCCCTCACAGCTGGAGCTGCAGCGGTGCTGGGGCTCATCCCATGGCCACGGTCCCTCACAGCTGGAGCTGCTTCCTCCCCCTGCACAGGACACTACGGGGTGCTGAGGAAGCTTGTGCCCTCAATCCCAGCTCCCACGCTCTCCCCCAAGAATAACTGCAAACACTTTGCAGCCTCCTTGCCTGCTTTTTTTGGTGAGCTGCCATAACGGCAGCGGTGCTGACTGTGCGGTGTGTCCCCAGCCCAGCCTGCCAGCACCAGCAGCCCACAAGGGACCAGGGACCCGTGCTGGCTCTGTGCTGCGGGGACGATTCCCATCAGCTGCGGTGATGGTGCTGTCACCTGTGCCCTCCCTCTCGGCACCACGGCAGCTCAGGCACGGCCGTGACACCTCTTACCTTGCAGGTGAAGGTGAAGAAGCACATCCAGCTGATCCTGGAGCGGCTGCTGCACACCGTCAACCGGAGGGTGATCGTGCTGGACCGGGAGAACACCTTGCGGGTGAGTACCACCGCCACCGCCTCGCTCTGCGCCAGGCATCGGGGCTGCCTTTGGGCGACACGGGAGATGGAAAAGGCACCGCTGATTTAGGGGTCTGGGGCTGGGTGACCAGCGCTGCTCCTCAGCTGGCACCACAGCCTGGTACCCAGCTGCCTGGGGCTGGGTGTGCAGGTATTTGATGACTCAGGATGCACAAGAAAGCCCAAAAGGGAGGCAGAACCGTGCCAGGAGCAGGTCTGGAGCAGAGGGTGTGTTGGGAGGAGCAGGCAGGATGTTTGTGATGCAGGAAGCCAGTTTTGGAAGCAGATGAGGGATTTGGGCTGTATTCTCCAGAAAAAAAGAGCCTGGAACCAACGAACCATCACAATTTTACATGCCAAGAACACGTGGGAGGAATGTTCTGGGAGAGGTAGGCAGGTCAGAGCAATGTTCAGCCGAAGCTGAGCAGCTGCACTGGGTGCAATGGTCTAATCAAGGAGGGGGAATAGAGCCGTGGCCAGCGAGGGTTTGAGGGTGCTCTGATGTGGATGTGGTGGCAGACGCAGCGCGCTTGGCCGGGCAGCGAGGAGCCGGCCCGAGAAGCTGCTCTGGGTGACGAGGGTCGGTGATGAGCTGGGTGACGGGGGTCGGTGATGAGCTGGGTGACGAGGGTCAGTGATGAGCTGGGTGACGAGGGTCGGTGATGAGCTGGGTGACGAGGGTCAGTGATGAGCTGGGTGACAAGGGTCGGTGATGAGCTGGGTGACGAGGGTCAGTGATGCTGGGTGACGAGGGTCGGTGATGAGCTGGGTGACAGGGGTCGGTGATGAGCTGGGTGATGAGGGTCAGTGATGAGCTGGGTGACGGCGGTTGGCGATGAGCTGGGTCCGATCGCGTTCCGGGAGCCTGGAGTGAGCGGCAGGGCCATGCCACAGGGACACACCATGCTGTGCCACCCTGCGTGCCGTGCGTGGGGACGGGTGGGCAGCTGGAGCGGCAGCTTGGCCTTTGAGCCTTCCTGGGATAAGCCTGCAGGTTTGCCATCCTGTTCTTTGTTCCCGTTAATAAAGACCTAACTGAAGTGAGGCAGTAAAGCCGGCGGGCAGGAGGGGAGCTTTATCCTCGCTGGCCCTGTCATGCTCTCGGGCGGATGCGGCTGCCCTGGTCTGCGACTGTCCCCATTGCTGGGATTGCTCCCACTGATGCGCTGAGGCACTGGTGTTGCTGTTCCCCGCCTGGTGACCCCCTCCTTGTGCCCCCGAGGGATGGGGGAGGCGCGAGGTCTCCCTCCAGTTCCCGGTTCAGCCTGCCCTCCCCAGCCTGGCCAGCGGCGCAGCCCCGCGGTGACATTTTGATAGTGGTTCTGCCGTCCTGGGGTGGGTGCCGAGCTGGTTCCCGGCACATGCCCGGGCACAAGTGGCCTCATGGCCAGGCACACCCCTGGCTCTGCTGCCGAAGGCTCTGCCGCCGGGGCTTTGCCGGCTGGGCACAGCGGGCTCTCGGCATCGGAGCGTGACTCACATGTGACTCAGGCAGGAGATGCATCCAGGGCTGCATTCCGTATCATCTTGCTTTTAGCCTTTGTTCCCAGGCTGCGTGACTCAGTGCCAGAGGAAGCAAGAGGGAAAAGAGCTGTTGGGTGTGCTGTGCCAGGCTGTGACCGAGGCGAGGAGGGACGCTGGGTGCTGAAGAATCGCCCCATATACAGTGTGGGAGAAAGGGGGGTGATCCTTTGGCTGCGCCTCACTCCCACCACTTGCTCCCTTTCCCACACACGGGCCCTGCTGGGCTCCAGAAATGTCCTCTGGCAGCTTTCCTGGTGTCGTTCACGATTTCTGTACCACTGCTGCAGCCCCTACTTTCAGCCTGGGGTCTGAGGCCCCCCCAGCCCGGGCTGCTCTGGCTGCCAGGAAGGTCTGAGGGGACCAGAGATGTGTGTGCCTGCGCTGGGGACGGCCTCTGTCTAGGTTCACTATCCCGGGATGTCGGGCACTGAGGCCTCCAACCAGCCCTGCCCTCCCCGTGACAGCTTGGCCCCCTCCCACGGGGCTCGTGGGCGCCGTGCAGGGAAGTAATGAGCTGCTGCAGGAGGGGCTGCAGCTGAGGCTCAGGCTGCTGCCGGCGAGCAGGGCTGGTGATGGGCACTGCAGCATCTCCTGTGGCCAAGCAGCCAGGGTACCTCGGCACCACCAGCCCCCCCCTCAGCACAGCCAGCCTCCCCTCAGCACCGACAGCCCCCCTCGGCACCACTGGCCCCCCTTGGCACCGCCGGCCCCCCTCGGCACAGCCAGCCTCCCCTCAGCACCGACAGCCCCCCTCGGCACCACTGGCCCCCCTTGGCACCGCCGGCCCCCCTCGGCACAGCCAGCCTCCCCTCAGCACCGACAGCCCCCCTCGGCACCACTGGCCCCCCTTGGCACCGCCGGCCCCCCTCGGCACAGCCAGCCTCCCCTCAGCACCGACAGCCCCCCTTGGCACCGCCGGCCCCCCTCGGCACTGCCGGCCCCCCTCGGCACAGCCAGCCTCCCCTCAGCACCGACAGCCCCCCTCGGCACTGCCGGCCCCCCTCGGCACCACTGGCCCCCCTCGGCACAGCCAGCCTCCCCTCAGCACCGACAGCCCCCCTCGGCACCGCCGGCCCCCCTCGGCACCGCTGGGCTGCAGCCCCATGAGCATCCGCTGGGTCCCCGGCACAAGGGATGGGGTTTAACACCGTGTCAGCTCCTGCATGTGCGAGTTTCCTGCTTTGGGGTGCCGTGGGGTGGGCACCAGCTGGAGAGGCCATGGCCGGACCTTCCCCCCCTCTGCTCCCCCTCTGCTTGAGTTCCTTGGCTGCAGCAGCCGCTGGCTGTGGCCCGGGGTGCCGTGGTGAGAGCCCCGGTGCTGCCTGCGGGCAGCGTCACCCGACCCCGGGGTCCCACAGCAGCGGAGGGTGGTCAGGGCACGTCCCATCCCGGCAGGCTGGGGGGCGTGCAGGGCACTTACTGCACCGCGCTCAGCACACACGCCCTGCCCAGGGCTGCTGCCGGCCGCTTTGACCTGGGACCCTCATTACACTGGTGCTGAATATCTCCTCTCCTGGGCAGAGGCTGGAAAATTTGAGTTGCTAATTCCTTTCTCCGTGTAATTAGCCAGTGCATCCTGCAGCCGGGGAGGTCCTGCCATCCGGCTGGGAAGCGGGAGAGGGAATTTCTAGCCCCCTGCAGCCCCCACTCCTGTGGCAGCCCCAGGTAGGGTCAGGCTGTGTGGGGCTCAGCCCCCAGCCCCCTGGCCTCACTCAGAGATGTTTGCTGGAAGGAGAGCCCTGCCCCCGGGACCCCCTCCCAGCCCCTTCTCCCACCCGAGAAGTTTTAGGGACAGGTCTCTTCTCTCCTGGGCAGGGTCCCACGGCAACTGTTTTCCACTATCTCTGACCAGGGGTGCAGCAGAAATCCTCGGTGGTCTTGGTTAACCTGCAGGCAGCACCCGGGGGGGAGTGGGCGAGCAGCCCACGCTGCAGGGTGCAGGGATTGATTTCAGCAGGGGCAGGCTGGGAGCGTGGGGGGGTGCAGGCGGCCCCCGGGGAGCCCCGGGGCAAAGGAGCGCCTAGGGCTGCTCTCCCCGAGGGGCTGTGGGTGCCTGGGGCTGGGTGAGCACTGCAGCCCAGGCGGGGGAACTGCTGCCAGCCCCCTCCTCATCCTCATCCAGAACAGAAGTGCACAGGTGGGAGAGGATGTAACAAAAATAGCGTCTCTGTAGAATTTATTGAAGTCTCATTAAATACAGCCATTGTTCCCCTTGCCTTATGTACACAGGGGCTTCAATACATTAAACTGAACGGTTAAAAATATAAAAGCTGGTGCTACCCAAACCCTACCATCAGAGGGAGGGAGAGGAGGAAGGAGACATGGGCATGGGGTCAGTGCTGGGGTGGTGCCCCCGTGCTGGGCCATGGGGCGCTGCCAGCTCACAGGAACCAGAAGCATTTGCGCCTGGATTTCTTCGCATCCAGCTTCGCAGGCAGCTTCATCACTGGCGACGGCTCTTGCCTGGGCGGCAAGGCGGCCCCCGCCGCCGCGGGGGAGCTCGGCATCGCCTCGCCCTCGATATGGCTCAGCACGTGCTGGAAGCGGCCCTCCTGCTGCCGGAAATCGTGCTCCACGCTGCGGGCGAGCGGGGCGAAGGGGACGGCGTTAGGCACACGCTCTGCACCCCCCGTGCTCTCCTCCACCCCTGTGCCCAGCCCACCCCCTGCAAGTCCCCCGGGGAGCTCAGCCCCACTGCGCTCCCGAGGCTGGTGCACGGGGACAGCACGCGTGGCGGGGGACCAGCCTGGCTTCTCGGCTGCCGTCCCGCGGCTGGAGGTGATGATGGAGCCCGTGGGTGGCAGGGGCTGGGACCCGGGGTGCAGAGCGGCCCTTTGAGTGTTTCTCTGGCGGCTTTCTCCAGGGTTCCCGGCATTTCCCAATGGGCGGACTTCCCGGGGCCACCGTGTGCCCCTGTGAGGGGACATCCTGCTGGCATGCACCTCCAGGCAGGTCCTGCCCACCACCCTCACCCTCAGGGGCTGTAAGTGTGGGGGGAGCGGGGGTCGGATCCGTCCCAAACAGCCGTCCCACCTGCGCTCTGCAGCTGGGCACGGCTAAACCTGCATTGCCGGAGCATCCAGGGATCTCTCCTTCTAGAGGAATGGACCAATAAACAGCCCCTGACCAGGTGGCAGGGGTTCTTTTGGGATGGGTCACCCTCAGCTGCCCCCCTCACCCCACACCTTCTTTCTTATCCATCCTCAAAGCCTGGTGCTTCCTCTGCCTTTCTCTTGGGCTTGACTCTGCTTTTTCCTCTGCTTCACCTGCTCACCACAGCTCCTTTGCCCTCAACAAGCACAAACATGCCAAGTCCCTCCTGGGGAGCCGATCTGCTGCAAGGGGCCTCCCGAGGTGCCGGGGAGCTGTCCCCGTCACACTGTGCTGGTGGCACGGAGGTGGCACTCGGGCAGCGGGTCGTTGGGGTTTCCTGCAGCAGCGTCCCCAACTCGGGAGGGCAGCGGCTCCTCTGCTCTGATCACGCGCCGGCGGCAGTGCCCGTTAGTGGCCATGCCCATCAGTGCCCCGCAGGCACCGGTGGCACTGCTGGCCATCCTCGCCAAGGCAGCCGCACTCCCAGCACCGAGGGGAGGGCAGAGGAAGGCTCCGGACACGCCGGGCACCCTGTAGTCACTGGCCACGGCAGCATGATCCCCTCGCTGCCGTTCCTTCGCTGCCGGACCATGACATGCTCCCCCGGGCAGGGCACGGCTTCTCCCCATCCACCCAGGGCTGTAGCCCAGCCCAGCTCAACCAGCAACTGCCAGGACTTTGCCTGTGACTGATGGGGAGCCACACTGATGCGGCGGGGGGTGAGCCCAGGGTCTGTGGGACCCTGGTCGGCAATGAGCCCCACCCAGAGAGGGGCTGTGCGTCCCTGGGGCCAGGATGCCTCATCCTGTTGCCGCTGCCACCAGCGCTGCTGCCTGTCGCACCACTCAAGGACTCAGGTCTCGGGTCTGGGTAGGTAATGGGGGGCTGTGCCCTCAGATTTCCTGCAAGGGCCAGAGCCCCCCGGTGTCCCCGCAGCACACAGGCTGGCTGCTGGCAGCCACGTGCCGTGATGCTTCCTCACAGGGAAAGCACTCTGGTCTCCTCACACCAGCCACGTCCCATCGGCTCAGCGAGGGGCTGCGGTGTGTGCCCGGGCCCACGCGCGTGGCATAGCACACGGGGAGCACCCCGCGAGCCCCCCACTCGCCACGCTGACACCTCCCGGCACCTTGCCCTGCAAGGACACTGATTGTCCCAGCTGTTTCTAACAGAAAGGGAGACCCACGGCAGACAGTCCCATAGCGGGGGGGGGGGCAGCGTGGGGAAGGGACCCCCACTCCCCAGCACAGACGCAGCAGAAGGGCTCGGGGCTGCTATGGGGGGTGCGCAGCTGGTGCGTTCGTGCATGGCCTGGGGGTGGCATGCAGCGGGCAGGGCTGTCCCCTCTGTGTGCCATCCGCTGCCCCGGCTCCTGGCACCCGGGGCACTCCGTGCTCGGCACTGCCCCTGCTCCCCCGGCCCCGTGTCCCACCGGAGCCGCTTATCACGGGGATGGCAGCGAAGCTCAGAGGGAGTCCCCAGCAGGAGCCTGGCAATTACAGGGAGCCACCTCCCCCAGATGTGACAGCTCTCCCACTGCAACGCTGCGTGGAGACAGGCTCGTCAGACCCAATTAGCACTGAAGTCCCCCGCGAGCTAGCGGGGGTGTTCATGGTGTAAATCAGCAGAGAACTGGTGATACAGACGCAGCCCTGCTGTGGCAGCACAGGCATGCAGGGTAGTTGGTGCGGGGGGGCGAGGATGCTGCCAGGCTGGGGCACCCCCAGCCCCAAGGTACATCCCATGCACGGGCAGTCACAAGAGCACGGTGGCTAAAGCGCCCTGTGCACACGCGTGTGCACCGCAGAGCACTGCTCAGCGCCAGCTCTGCGCTCTGCAGCCTGCACTTCCCAGCGCTAGCAGAGGAACCCTAATTCATAGCAAAAAGGAGAACATGCCCGGCCAGCCACCCGCACATGCACAGAGGGAGGCAGCAGGCTGCACAGCCAGAGGGACAAACAGACATCTATAGATGCCTGGACAGGCCGAAGGCTCGGGTGAAACTGCAACTCCCCGATTCCCACAGGGGTGACAGGGAGAGGCCCCAGCCACGTCACTGCCTGCACTGGGACAGCGTGAGACTGGGCTCTGGGGAGAGAGGGCAGTGGAGGAAACAGCCTCCACACCCTGACCCAAAGCCAGTGCCAGGGAAGCAGAGCCAAGGCCTCGCAGTCCCAGACCCTGGCAAGGGGCAGGAACCCCCTGCGTGACCGGCAGTCTGTCTGCAGCATCTCTGCAAAGCTGGCATGGGGACACCAAGGCGCAGCCTGGACTCAGAGCGAGCAAGCAAGCCCACCCACCAGCCACTAATGAGGTTTTCCCCGATATAGTTCTTTTACAAAAGATAAATGCTCTGCCATCAAACGGGAGCCACTGTCCAGCCATCCTTCATGAAAACCACCCCATCTACTCCTGGGAGCGTGGGCTGCTCTCCGCACAGATAAAGGGACCGGATTCAGGCTGTGTAACACCAGGACCCTGCTCTGGCCTTTCGACACGTGGAGGGCACTGGCTGCAGAGCGGCGAGGTGCCTGCACCATGCTGGGAGCCCTGGCAGCACGCTGGGGGAAGAGTGGGCACCAGTGTGCCCAAATGCTCCCGGGCTGGCCCAGTGAGCCGAGCCCTGCTCCAAGGACAGCGAGCAACCTTCAGTGTCCTGCCCAGCATGGGGCTGGCAGGGCAGCTGTGGGACCTGCCGGGGGAGATGCTGCCTTTCGGGCCACGAAGAGAGCTGCAAGGAGAGAGGGGAAGCTGCATGCTCAGGGCTGGAGCGTGCTGCCGGTGGGGAGCACTGTGAGCCCTGTCTGAGGACTCCTTGCAGAGCAAGGGGTCGCCCAGCAAAGACCGAAATAGCCCAGGGAGCTGCGGACCTGCCTGGCGGGGGCTGGCAGGTGAGGTGTCCCCCCCGGCTGGTGTGAGATGGGGGGGGTGTGCTGCAGACAGCGTGGCGTTGGCCCTCTCCCCCCTGCGAGCAGTGGTCCCTGTAACTCGTGATCAGCAGCAGAGCACCTTCATGCCGAAGTGGGCTTGGGCAGCCTGGGTGGTTGTAATGAGGGTGGTCGCCCGACAGCCGAGAGCGGTCCGTACGTGGTGCCCCCCGACAGCCGAGAGCGGTCCGTACGTGGTGCCCCCCGACACCCGAGAGCGGTCCGTACGTGGTGCCCCAGGAGCAGGGGCAGCTGCAGGGACAGCGGGGCTCACAGCCTCTAAGTACCCAGCTGCTGTGGGGCCGTGGGTGGGATGGGTCCCTTGAGATGTGGACGGGCACGAGGCGCAAGGACACAGCGCTGCACACGTGGGATGGGGACAGCCGCTCCACACGTGGCCCACCACCTTTTGCCTTGAGGTTTTTGCAGTGGCCTCTGCCAGAGACAGGACCTGGCACAGGGGTCTTAGCTGGCCCTGTACAGCTGGGTTTGTCTGTCCGAAGGTGCTGGAGGTGTTTCTGCTACAGAGAGCTCCTCCATTAGGAGAGATGAGAGAGGAAAAGCTGTGACTGTGTTAGTGTCATGTCCCCCCCGGGGACAGCCCAGACCTGGACAGGATGAGACCCTGCAACCCTCTCACAGCTTGGGGTGCCCCAAGCATCCACCCTGCCACAGGGACAGGAGATGGAGTGCAGGTGGGCAGGTCCCCTCCCTCCCCCAGCACTCTCCCCATAAGTGAAGACTCACAACCTGCCCTGCCCCTCTGCCTTGTAGCCAAATTAGGAGTCTGAGGGGTGGAGGAGAGCAGGGGCCCTGCTGGGAATGTGTGGGTGCCCGAGCTGGCTCTTACCTGTAGATGATGCAGGCACAGTCCCGGCAGGTCCCGCAGTTGGCGATGTCTTGCCCTGTCCGGTACGAGTGTCTCCTGCGAGAGAGCAGAAGTGCTGTGAGACCGGAGACCCGACCTCGGTCTGCCTGTGCCTCCCCAGCTGCCACAGCCCACTCATCTGCCTCTGGAGTTCATCCTCCAGCAGTCAGGAGCTGGGATTCTCCTCCCTGGATCCCAGCCCCTCTCCTCCCTGGGATCCAGCCCCTCTCCTCCCTGGGATCCAGCCCCTCTCCTCCCCGGATCCCAGCCCCTCTCCTCCCTGGATCCCAGCCCCTCTCCTCCCTGGGATCCAGCCCCTCTCCTCCCTGGGATCCAGCCCCTCTCCTCCCTGGATCCCAGCCCCTCTCCTCCCTGGGATCCAGCCCCTCTCCTCCCTGGATCCCAGCCCCTCTCCTCCCTGGGATCCAGCCCCTCTCCTCCCTGGATCCCAGCCCCTCTCCTCCCTGGGATCCAGCCCCTCTCCTCCCTGGATCCCAGCCCCTCTCCTCCCTGGGATCCAGCCCCTCTCCTCCCCGGATCCCAGCCCCTCTCCTCCCTGGGATCCAGCCCCTCTCCTCCCCGGATCCCAGCCCCTCTCCTCCCATGCGATGCCATTTGATGCCAGGCCAAGCACGGTGCCTCTCAGCTCTGCGGATTTCTCAGATGGGTGCAAACCAGCAACAGGCACAGCAGAAGCCCCGAATCCTCCAGGCTGTGTCCGCCTTCTTTCATCTCCATCTCAGAGCTGTACCTCATGCCCACGGCCACCCCGGGTCACCATGACTCTCCCCACACATGGTGCCACGGAGGGAGTGGGACCATGGGCAGCATGAGGGCTGTGTGGGGGCACTGGTGGCACACAGCAGTGCCCTGACAGATGGGCAGAGGGAGGTGCTCCAGACTAATCACCAGCCTACGCCAAACTCAGGATTTATCTTTTTGATGCTTTTGTACTAGAGAAGCATCCTCCTCCAGGGAAGGTGCACAGGACTTAAATTAAGCTGATGAGCGCCAAAGCTCAGCTCCTCCTCCCTGGATGTTTCTGCTGCTGGTGCTAAACAGGAGCCCTGATGCAGCCCAAGGGCAGCCACACATCGTGCTGCTCCGCTGGGCAAACGCCGGCTGCCTGCCCTGCTGCCCCCCTGCCCGGAGCTCCCCGGGGTGCCTGCTCCCCAGGACCAGGGCCGTGCTTCGGTCCCACCACGCAGATTGTCCCATGTCCCCGGCATCCCCTCTGCCTGCCAGCAGCACGTCCCAGCTCCTGCTGCCCTGCGAGCACAGGGTGTCCACTGGCTGCAGCATCCCGGCGTCCCAGGGACCGGCTGTGACCCCCTCGCCCAGCCCAGTGCTCCCCTGAGCCTGGCAGCCCCCACGAGCCGCTGCTGGCCGGAGGGCCACCACCTCCCCGGGGAAACGGGCCGCCGATGTCTCTCCTTGCTGAGCAGCCTGCAGCTTCTCTGAACCAAGCTTGTGTGCATTTGGCTTCGCAGCCCCTCCAAGCCCCGTGGTGTGGGGCGGTGCCGGGGAGCTGCCCGCAGACCCCCTGTGCCCCAGCACTGCCGGTGGGTGCTCCCCACTGGTGCCCCAACTCCGGCTGCTCTCAGAGCTGCAAGAAAAGGGCCCCATGAAACGCTTTTGGTCACCCTTGCAGACTCCATCTCCACGTCTCCATTGCCCCTCCTAGGCAGAGCAGGCTGTGGCCTTTTGGGGGACAGCTGAGAAAACACCCCCATGTCCCACATAGTAGTCACATTTTCCTGTTTAAATCTTCCTCCTATTACTCGACCTTGATCATGAGTGTTCTCAGCCCTCAGAAACTAGGTCTTTTAATGCACCAAATTACATATTACAATTGGGATTATACTGTTAGCGCATAAATTAGATCATGATACCTTTTATATATATATATATATATATAAGGTACATATATATGTGTGTGTGTGGGGGGGGTATCTAATGTTGTATAAACTGCGCCTCTTTACCAGGATGAGAGCTAATCCCGGGATGGGTGTTTGGTGTGGGATGTTGCTGGTGGTAAACACCTGGGTCCTGTGAGGACACGTTACACCACGAGCAGCATTGGGGCTGGTGGCACCGTGCTGGTGCACGGCCGGTGCCTCGGAGCCGCTGTGTGCCTGCAGGATGCTGACCTGTGGCAAATGAGGCCACGCAGTTCCTCCACATAAGAACACTAGGATAATTTTTAATGTGATTTCCTATCCCATTCCTTATGTCTCTGGGCATCTTGTTTGCTCATTTGACTGCAACAGTATATGGAACCGAGATCTTAATTAAGCTGCCCGCAGTGACGCTAAATCAGCTTCCTGAGCAGACAAGCTTAGCTCTGACCACGGGAGCAAACCTGCCCTCTCAACGGGCACCGCCGTACCCTGCAGGGACGAGGCTCGGCACAGCCACAGCTGCAGGGCTGCCGGCACCTGGAGGGCAGCACTCCCCGGCCTTTCCCCTCCGAGCTGCAGCACAGCCCTGGGGGCAGCAGACCCCCATGCAACCCCGAGAGGCGAGGGGCGAGCAGGCTGCAATGGGGCTGGGTGCGAGGACCAGTATGGGGTGAGCAGCTCCTTGCACCAGCCGGGAGGTTGGTGGCCCTTGTGCAAGATGAGTTTGGAGGGTCTCAGCTCTGGGCCATCGCAGACTAACCTCTAACACCTTGCTCTGTTTGGCAAATCTGCCTGGGAGGCCAAGGAAAATCATCCCAGAGGATGCCCTGCCTGTGGAGCAGGTCCTGGGCAGGGGTGTTTGGGCACCCCCCCGGGACGCAGCCAGGTCAGGCACTGGGGCACCAGACACCAAATTTGTGCCTCAGGTAACGCCGAAGCTGGAGCTGAGAGCAGGCATGAGGAATGGGGAGGCTGTCCCCGGGGCATCCGCCACAGCCGGGCTGAGCCTGCAGTGACCAATGGGCACATCAGCTGCACCGGAGCCGGGCAGGGGGCACAGCTCCCCTCGTCCCCCTGGCCCGCGCCCCCCTGCACCCCTTCCCTGGGTCCCCCCTGTACTCCATCCACAGCACCCCCCCCCCCCAGTCCCACACCGCTGTCCCCACTTGCTCACCCGTCCCGCTGGGCCTCCTTCTTCTCCAGGTCCTGGATGACGTCCAGCAGCACCCGGATGGTCTGTTGGCTGGTCTCCAGCACCCCTTCCAGGGACTGCAGCTGGGACTGCAGGTCCCCTTGCTCCCTGGGCCCCCGGGGACCCTCTCCCTGAGATGTCTGGGCGTCCTCGTCCCCCGCTGCTGGTCCCACCGGCCCCTTGGCCACCACCACGAGCTGCAGAAGGTCCTGGACGTGGCGCAGCATCTGCGACTGCTCGGTGGTGAGGCAGGGCTGCCCATGCTGGGGGACCTCGTCCCATGGCTGCGTCCCCACGCCAGCGCCCCGTGGGGCCGGGGGCAGCGGGTCCCCGGGCCCCTCCGGTCCTGCCCGGCCGTGCCCAGGCTCGGCGGCGTGTAGCCGGCTGCAGATGCCGCGGGGGTCCGGACGGACGAGCGCAGCCAGTGTCTTCTCCGGCACAGCGGTGGCAGAGCCGTGCCGGCCCAGCGCTGGTGGGACGGGGGCTGGCGAGGTGCAGCAGGGTCCCCCCCAGGGCATGCCGCAAAGCTGGTGGTGGGGTGTCGGGGGGTCCCGCGGGGGGTTGCCCTGAGCTGTCTGGCGGAGGCCGTGGGTGTCCGTGGTGGGGATGGTCTGCTGGCGGTGTGGTGTGGGCTGGGGCGGCGGGCGCCCGTGGGGCAGGCTCCGCTCCGAGTCGCTCCGGCCGAGCCCCTGCGGCTCAGCCGGCGGCCAGGGCTGGCCACAGGGCACGGAGGCCGGGCGTGGGGGGGCCCCACGGCTGCCCCTGGGGTTCCCACGGAGCCGGGCGCAGGCAGGGGGGAGCGGGCAGGGCTCGGGGGAGCAGCTCTGCGCCGGGGAGGTGCAGCGGGCAGCAGGGCACCCGGCCGTGGCCAGATAAGGGGGACAAGGATCCCTGGGTGGTGGTGCATGGGGTGCTGCAGCGTGCTGGGCGAGGGCTGTGGCGTGATCGCGCACGGGGAGGCTGCCAGGCACCCACAGGGGCACAGCCCAGCTGGCAACGGTGGGCACGGCCCCCCCTGGGCACCGGGCGCTCCCCGCAGCAGCGGGCAGCACCGAGTCCCCGGCCACGTCACAGACGCTCTTGCTGCGGGGCTGGGAGGCCGGGAAGGGCTTTTGGAGGCTGGGGGAGGTCTGGATGGCGGTGCTCATGCACGCCTTCCTGGGCATGGGCAGCGTCAGCGAGCCCGGCTGGGCCTGGGGCCAGCTCCGCGGTGAGGCACAGAGAGCCGCCGGCTCAGGGGCGTCCCTGGGGGGCGGCGAGGCACGTGGGGTGTTGGGGTCTGTGGCTGCTGCGGGCCCTGGGGGGGGGCTGGCCGCCCGCCCCGCGCCGCCCTCCACCAGGTCCTTGAAGCGGACCTGCTGCGTGCGGTTCCGCCGGCGCTTGAGGCGGCTCTCGACATCAGGCGAGTCGCGGTTGAGCAGCACTGAGCGCACTGTCATGGCTTTCTCCTGGCTGCCCTCGCCGGCGGGGGCCGGGCCGGGAAGGGGCTCCCGGCTGACCATGGCTCAGGGCCCCGGGGCCGCTGCCCTGCAGCAGGGTGCTGCGGCGGGGCGCGGGGGGCCGAGCACCGACGGCCGGAGCCCTGGGCTGCGCCCGTGCCCAGAGCTGCCCAGGGCAGCGGGCGACCTCATCCCGCGCCGCCGCGGAGGGGGGATGCTGCGTGGGAGGCGGGCGAGGGGCCACCGGGCATGCTGCCGGGCGCCCGTCCCTACAGCCCCCGTCCCGCCGCCCCGCCAGCCCTGCCCGTGGCCGTGCCCCCGCGCCGGTGCCGGCAGGCCATGGTCCCACTGCTGTTGGCCCGGGCTCAGTGCCGCCCGTGGGGGGCTGCCCGCGGCGCCGAGTGCCGGCCGTCCCTGCCCATGGCTCCTGGGCTCCCGGACCTGCGGGACAGAGAGAGGCGCGTCAGCCCCGGCCCTGTCACCTCGGTCCCCCAAGGACAGGAGGGTCCCCCATGTGCCACGCTGCCCCACGGAGCCACCGGCCTCTGTGCGCTCCCTCCCCGTCACCAAACGCGAAGAGACAAGCTTTGATCTCTGGTGCTGCCTCTTCAGCACAAAGAGAGGAGGAAAAAAAGAAACCCCTTTAGCATAAACACGTTACGAGTTCACAGCTCAAATCAAGCAGAAGCAGCTGTTAAAAATAGCTCTGCCTCACTGGGGCTGGCGCCTCGTGTTCGTGGGGTGCTGGCAGCGGGAGGGCAGGCGCGGGGGGCTGCTGCACATGGGCACGGGGAGCTCCTGCGTGGGATGTATGGACATAGGTTACCCGCTGTACACAGAGCACCCTCTCTGCATGGGGCTGGACAAGGTGTGGGGCACCCAAATCTGTGTGGGGCATGGCTGGAGTGGCTGTGGGACGCATGGCTGGGCACAGGGGACCCATCATGCATGATGCATGGACAGAGTGAGCACAGGGGACCCGTCGTGTGTGGGGCACGGCTGAACTGGGCACAGGGGACCCGTTGTGCGTGGCTGGACTGGGCACAGGGCCCCATCCTGCACCCAGCACCCACCAGAGGTGCAGCAGGGCTGGCTGGGCTGCCGATGTGGGGGACCAGCTCTGTGGGCAGGGGGTGAGACCATGGCTCGGGGACACTGAGCCAGCTTCAGGCATGTGGGAACCAGCCAGGAGGAAGGACACCGAGATGGCAACTTCGGTGTGACCGGGGGATCTCTCCCTGCCCCTCACCGTGGAGAAGGGCGGCTGCTGGTGTCTCTCCAGCTCTCACCCGCAGGGCTGTGGCTTGGGGAGGCTGCGGTGGGGCTGCCTCGGGAGAGCGAGGTGTCCCGGGGCCATCGTACCTCCTGCCACCGTGCAGCCCCGGGCAGCCTGCCCGCCCGCGCCCGCCACAGCTCTCGCCTGCCGTCGTGCTGGCCCGCAGCACAGCTCCCTCTCGCAGGGCCACCGCCACAGCTCGTGTTTGGGGACGCGTCCCTGACCCAGGCGGCACAGGGGCAGGACCTGGGGGATGGGTCCTGAGCAGGGGGATCACACCCAGCCACGTCCTTGTCCCTGCCATCGTCCCCTGTCTGTGCCATCATTAGCACCGCTATGCAGGGCTCCTCCAACCCGTGCAGACAGGGCAAACCTCCCGCCGCAGCCCTGTCCTGGCATTACCCCCGCACCAGCACCAAGCCCTCGTGCCTGCCTCGCTCTGCCTCTGCCCACCCTGGTCACTGGCTGCTGCCCCGGCCCAGGCACGTGTCGCCGTGGGGCACAGGACACACACCAGGAGCCCTGCCCGGGGTGCCGAGGAGCCTAAGGGCTCATTTCGGGAGGCAGCACCAGGGGCAGGGCAGGAGACACACAGACGCCAGCCCTGGTGGGCACCGGCACGGCTTCGCTTGGCAGCTCAGCCTCCCAGCACCCGAGGTCTGCAAACATCCAGAGGTACCTGAGGCACGAGCGAGGAGCAGAGCGACATGGGCTCCCCATGGCACGGACTCACTCCCTCGTGGCACGTCCCGCAGCCTGCAGCACCGTGGCCCCCGCCCCGGACCACAGCCCACACTGCTCCCCCAGTGCCCCCATCGGCACGCTGAGACGGGACCCTCGCTGTGGGTGGGCACACGGCACCAGGCAGCTCCCCCCAGCCCCCCTCGCCGCCTTGCCTTGCTCCCGCTGGAACGAAGCTGCTGACTCAGCACGGCGGCCTGGGATCACCCTGCACTGGTAACGACAAAACTTCCCGAGCGCCGAGAGTGCCGGTGCCTGGTGCGTTCCCTGGCTGGCAGCAAGCTGCCGACTTGGGGGAGCAGGGGGCTCAGGCAGCCCTCCCGGCCCCCGCCCTGGCCCCGCACCCCCCCAGCGCCTCCGCACGCCCCCGCAGCAGCATTAGTCGGGATGCTGCTCCACGCACCGCCCAGCCGCCCGGCGCTTTCCTTCCCGAGCTTGGAGCCGTGCCCAGACACCGGGAGATGTTTGTGAAGCAGGACGCGACGGAGACACGGTGGAGGGATGGGGCACCTCGTTAGTATGGGCAGCAACGGGCGGCGGGGAGAGCCGGCTCGGGGACGGAGCCAGCGCCGCCTGCCCCCGCGCCCCTCGCTCGCCGCAGCCCGGGGGAGCACCCCGTGTCCCTGCCTGGCCCGGGGCAGGACCCCACTCTGGACAGCGAGGGCCTGCGGGGCGAGCCACCGCCCGAGCCCTGCCGCAGCCGCGGGGTCACCTCTCCCCACTCGTGCCGGTGCCCAGCACCCCCCACCCAGGTCCTGCTTCAGCATCCCTGGGGGGGCAACACGCCGGGTGGCAGAGCGGGGCTGGCTGGCACGTCTGCGCGCCGGACCAGCCTCCCGAGTGCGGCTCAGGACCGGCACAGCCAAGCCAGGCTGAGTGCTCCCAGCCAGCCTGCCCCGGGGGCTTCCTTAATGAGAGCACTAAGGGGCACGGGGCAGAGGTGCCAGGAACCGTTCCGACAGCCAGGCATGGGGCAGGAGCGCTCCCGGCACGGTCCGAGCGCGGATGCAGCCCCCGCGAGCCCGCAGCAGAGATCTCACTGAAACACAGCCGACGGCAGAGCATGACAAGGCCATTCCACTGCCTACGCGGTGAGCGCGATGCTGTCAGTCAGCGGGGCCTCCACCAAGGCACCCTCTGCCTCCCGACCTGCACCGCTGGGGAGATGGGAGACAAGCCACAAGGATGAAGAAAAAGTCTATAAATTATACATGCACCAACTCCGTTTGGGAACAGCTCTGAGGATGTCAAACACCAGGACCCTCCCACTCATCTCTCTACATACACTTTATGGTACGGTTAGATTTAGTGCTGCGTTCGGGTGCTGTTTGCAGCGTGCCAGCATCTTCGAGTGCTGATGCCGAGTCCTGCTGCAGGATGGAAGCAGGACTGTGCAACCCAGCAGCTGCGGTGTCTGACGGGCCCCCCCATATTGTAGCTGAATCCGAGGAAACCGCTCTGCCGATGGATCCATCTGGAAGTGCAGTTCCAGGGACACTTCGGATGCACAGAAAGGGCCACCGGGAAGGGGCTGTGCAGGAAGCACAGGCACCCAGCCCCCAGCCGCACCAGCACTTTGCAGCTGCTATCTTCAAGCACATTTACTGGGAAATGGCACTTAGCACCCCAATCCTGGGGCCATGTGCTCACCCATGCCCCCCATGCGTTTGGCTACACCACCCGATGCAATATGTGTCCAGCATGCAGCCACGCTCCCTGCTCGCCCCACCAGCTCCCCCATGGGCATCCCAGGACAGCAATCTGGGCTGGTCAGACTGGAGGAGCAGCAGCAGGGACATCTCCTGCTAATGCTGCCTTACCCCAGAACAAGGTACCTACGGGTCTGGCCAGTCCTGCAGTGCCGAGGGCTGCCGGGAGGGCAGTGCTGAAGGACGAGATGCTGTGAAGCTGGAGTCCCTCTGAGGTCCCGAATCTGCAGCAGCCCCTTCTGGGGTCCAGTCTGCCAGAATCTCAGGGCGGCGGCAGCTCCTCTCTCCCAGAGGATGGCTGGGATCGGGGGCAGGGGAGGGCATGGCTAAAGGAGACTTGTCCTAGCCACCGTGTTGGGGCTGATTGTCCTCAGGCTCAGAGCTCAGAGCCAGAGCTCAGCTGGTGTAGAGCGGCCGAGTGCATGGGACAGGGAGCCCCGGCACGGGGGGAGCCAGGAGGGCACGGGGGGGCTGGCACCGGCTGGGGGCAGCGTTGGGGGAACGGGCTGGGAGCCTGACTGATAACAGCTGAAGGACAGCAGCGTGTACCAGCCATGCCAGTCAGCACAGGGCCACAGAGAACACGGCTCATCAAACCAATTTGCTGTCTGTTTTGATGAGGTTCCAAGTTTGGTCGATGAAGGTAAAAGCCTCGATGGAGCAGACTTGGATTTTTTGTGAGGCATTTGACATTTTGATGAAGAAAACTGAATAATCTGAAAGCAACGTGGCACACATTAAATGGATTAAAACCTGGCTAACCAGCATGTCTCAAGACATAATCATCCAGCGATCATCGCCAATTAGCCGTGCTCCTGCCCAGGTCCTGTGGAGGGGCAGCCGGGCCTCGTGCAGGCACTGGCTGTCACTGACCTCAAAGGAAAAACTCAGCACTGAGAACATGCATGGGTTACACCAAGGCTGAGGGAAGGGCGAAGCAGGAAAAAGACAAATACAGAGCCACCCGAGGAACATGGAGCAGATGCTGTGCAGGATGGGTCTCTGCTGCGGGAGCCCCACATTCCTCTCCATCTGAGCAGCAAAACACAGCGGCTGAAAATCGGGGGTCAGGGCAGTCAGAGGAGCAATTTTCTTAAAAAGAGGCCAGCCAGTGCTAGAGCAACTTGGGAAGGATTTGCATGGTGGTGGATCCTCTGTCTCAGCAATTTTTTAAGGTCTGAGTGTTTCTCCTCTGGTACATATGGGAATTAAGAGAGCATGAATAAGGTGAGACAGCAGGTCACACCAGATGATGTATAGATAAAACCAGACAATGGCACTGTAATGCAATAGAAGACACAAGTACTTCAGCTCTGGTCTCTCTGGTTCAGCAGAATGCTCAGCAAAGTTGGGAACGGCGTCTCCTCCACTGAGTGAGCCCAGGAGCTGAGGAAGCATCAGGAACTGCTTCCCATGACCTGGCCATGGACACCACTGAACTTCAGGTGACAACTCCCACCTAGTCTTTGGATTGTCCTCACTCCCCATAAACATCAAATACCCCTCAGAACAACGTGGGTCCGTCAGCAGCGCTGGGGCTCTGAATCACGCATCAGCTCGCTTCCATCCCCGGCCCAGAGCCCTCTGGATCCATGGCCGCGCCACTGGGGATGGTGGGATCCAAAATCTGGTCCTGCATCACCAGCCCGTGCTTTGCCAGTGCACTGCCAGCTCCCACCTGCAGCCTGTAACAGGCTTGTGAATCTCCCTTTGGAGAGCCCATGGCCCCACGATTGGGTCACTTTTCTTAGGCCAGTACTGATTGATGGAGAATTTTGTGAGACACGCACGAAATCTTCTGGTTTTGTAGCTTGAGACTCATCTTGTGTGGGCTGCAGGGTTGACCTCAGAGGAAAAGAGCCCTCCTCCACACTGACCTGGCCGGAAAGTTATCTGCATCCACCAAAAATACCACCGAGCAGAGGGAAAGCCTCCAGCTGTACGCCTGCCTCCTCCTCCTCCTCCCTTGAGGCAGCAAGGCCTGGCTCTGCTCTTCCTCCTGACTCAAGGGACATCGGTGTCCCGTGGGAGAGACTAGCCTGGGACTGGTGAGGCTGCTGGGCAGACCCCAGCCACGACCGTCAAACAGCGGGACCGCAGCCACCAACGGAGGGTCCAGCTGCCCCCCACACCCGTGAACAATCCTGCCCGTCCCCTGGCCAGCTTTGGCCTTTCTCCACCCATCCTCCACCTCGTCCTCCTGGTAATGTCTGTGGCAGAGGGAAAACCAGAGCAGACACATAAATCTTCTCCTCAAGACGCAGGAAGCCAGGAGATTAGATTTATGAGAGAGGAAGTCATATTCTCCTGGAACTGCAGAAGAGAACAGCTAATTACCCAGCACCACTCACCGGGTACAACGGCTTCTCCTGGGACAAAACCTTTGCTTTTCCTGATCTCAGGAAAGGCGAGAGGTGCTGCTGGCGACGGAGAGGGGCAGCACCGGAGGATGAGGCATTTGCTCTCAGTGGAGGACCAGGCAGGAGCCAGGTTCATGACACATCACTCAGCAACAGAGCGTAATCCTTCCTTGGCTCCAAGAGGACTCGACACGTTTGTACTCAGATCGAAGCATCTGTGGGAGCTGAGGGTGGAGGACTAAGAGCATCTCCTTGGGCAGCTAGCAAACCCAAAATCCGGTTCCTTGCTGAGGAAGCTCCACCATGAAGCCAGCTCATGCCCTACCCTTGTGGTTCTCTTGGAGGCTCTTCCAGAGCCCAGCTGCTCGGAGGCTCACAGACCTTCTAATTTCCTGCCGGCACTTAATCATGGCCAGTTTATATCCGACTGTGCTCGTGCCAGTATAGTGCTTCCGCTTGAACAGCTCTTCTCCCTTCTCAGCGTTCAGCCCTTGTGTGTTCACAGCGAGGACACACGTCCCTTCTCCAGCCACACTTTGCAGTGCTCAGCAGGTCCACCTCTGTTTATGTCCCCCAAGGCCAGCTCCCGTGTCTCCGATGATCCTTGCAGCCTCCCTCCACATCGCAGCACTTGACCTCCTCCCTCCTGAGAGCGTTCAAGGCAAGGTCTTGGGCTCTGCTCAAACACCTCTGGGGCCCCAACAGAAACACCCGGGCTGCCCCAGCTGAGGACGGCAGCACTCCCAGCGCCCAGCGAGCATCGCCCAGGGCCTCTGGGGAGCATCACTGACACACGGGTCCTCCCCTGGGTCAGCCAGGGCCTGGTGCAAGCAGCAGCTCGCACAAGCCAAGGGCTCTGCACACATCTCTATTTAGGTCACTGGCTGAAGTGCTCTGCAGGAAAATTAGTCACTCTCCCAGCCACGGGGCC